GTAACTGCTTATTTCTAGAGGCACAGTTATAAAAATTTTAGATTGAAATTAGATTAAAAATAAATTTATTCAATCACTTTCAGTAGAACTACTTGAGCTGTCGTTGTTTAGATTAATTATTATTTGATTTTCAATAAAGCAGTCAAAATTAATGTCTCGAAGTCATCCATAATATTTTTTTGTTTTTTCTACCATTTTTGCCCAATCCTCGTTTTTGACATTGGCACATGTTTCAACGAATATATATATAGAATAAACAATCCAAAAAGTTAAAACAAAATCACAAGATAAGCAGCACAGAATTACGAAATTACGTACAGTAAGCTCCCCAAATGGCGGGAGATTGAAATTACGTAGTGGTTTTTTCAGCCCGGTCTTGTATATGAGTTTTTTTGCCTACACAAAGGACAATGGCGAAATAATAGGTGATGGAATTATTAAGCGTATACTTAAGTCACCATTATAGATATCAATAAAATATATACTATCTTTTATCTAATCAAGCTTATGGGCTGTAGAAAAAATAATCTTGCACAATTCAAAACTTAATTGAGTAGTTATAGTTGTTACGATTCGTCAGTTAAGACAGACAAAGATCTTATAATTACAACAGAGTTTGACGTGTATTTTATTCAGAAAACTCTTCTATATATACTAATGCGTTCTTTAAGGATTCCCTCTATGCTAGTAACTACCCTATATAAACATATTTTTTTTATAGAATAGGCTGACAAACGAGCACACAGTCCACCTGATGGTAAGTGGTTGCTGCGGCCCATAGACATCTACATCTATCTTCCATTACAAATCAAAATGCAGATGCGTTGTCACCCGTGAGGACTGAGATGGAATGCCTCATTTTCAGTAAAAAGGGTCTCCGGTTCTCTACACTCACCATACGAAATACAGCAGCATTAAGCTACTATTTCACGCTGGTATTCTGTAAGAGCGTGGTCCTTCCCCGGTCGAGCCGACCCATTCGTGCTACAACTATACTACTAATATAACTGCAGCATGGCTCTACCACGTAGAAAATTATATGAAAATTGTATTGACTACTTGTTGTAACGATTTGCCAGTTAAGACGTTTTATACCATACAGCCTAGTCTAATGTGTATTTTGTTTAAACTGGAATATCTCTAATTCCTAACTTCCTGCAGCCGAAAAAAATGTTCACAGTCTTAAACTCTATTTTTACATATTTTGCATTTGTAGACGCAAGAAAAAAAAGTCTACTAAAATTTATTTGGGAGTTTGCCATTGTCCTTTACGTTGACAAAGTTAAAAAAATAAACTTGTTTTATTCATGATTCATGTAATTTAAGGAATTTTAAAAATAAAAATTTAATTAAACAAATAATACATTAAAAAAATTAATGATTCGATTATTTGAATATTTTTAACGATTATTTGAATCTTTTTGCCGATTATTCGCATATCAATGAATTTTAATCATCCAAACACTACGGTAAGGCACATAGCGACATATAATTGAAACGACGTCAAGTAAAAAAGTTGATACTGGTTATTTTTTTTAATATTTTGCTTTGTTTGAAAGATTCAAATTTAAATTAGCGATAAAAAACTAAACGCGTTGTAATTAAATGTAGATAACTTCATAATTCTTCGGATTTAGGTAAAATGTTATTGTAAATCGTATGATTACGCTTGTGCAAAGTTATTGCGGAATGAAATGAATGTGAAACGTCAAAAGGTATTTCTTAGATTTGGTTGACTATAGTCATACAAATAACACAAGACTCATGACCATAAAATCAGCAACAACGCTGAGATCATCCGGCGAGAAGCAAACTCGCCTCCGAGGGTAGGATGCAAAAAAAGATCGCATCCCGTCCCAATCTGCTGACCTAAAATGCCAAACACGGCGGCAACCTACAGTACGCCACCGCGATGGGAGCGTGAGTGGCACTGTACTCCGGATCAGACAATGGTCCGAGGAGCCAAAAGGGGCATCGACGGAGACGTGATATCCGTCCGGATGAGAGGTCAGCAGAAGATCCAACAGGGAAGGTACATGATCTTCCACATCTGGGATCCGCGTAGCGTAGGCGAGGTAACCAGTTGTGTCAGACCATATGCCAAGGCAAATTCATAAACAGATCTACCCGCATGATCGGTTAAACGAGAACCAAACCATTCAGTGTGGTGGGCGTTAAAATCACCAAGCATCACGATCTCTGCGGATGGAACCCGTTGTAGCACGAAGTCTGCAGCCATCTGGACGTGGTCTATGAGTCGGGATTGCCGCTTTATTATAGATAAGATTATAGAGGTACCCGTAGATGCGGGGATGGTCGTCGTTGTTTCTGCGCAGCCATGACATGGACAGGATGTCCTCTCTGACATACACGCAAACTCCAGCTCGGGGCACAAAGAAGTGTTCTAATTTGTACCCCGGGTAGGAGAGATACGAAGTATCAGCCGGAGACGACACCTGTGTCTCGGTTAAAAAGAGCAAGGCCGGCTTCGCCGTTTCCAGATAGTAGTGGACGGCGTTAAGATTTGAATGAAGTCACCTGATGTTGCAGATATTCACGGATAGCATAGCAGGGTGCGCCTTTTACTTATTGCTCTGTTTGCCCCGAGCAAGCTTAGTCTCGAGCGGAATTTCGCCCCCCCCCCCCAAGACGCGGGGCAGCCTAAGCACCCACGCTCAGGCGTAGAGTTAGCTTGGTCGTGGATGCTCAGCGAGGGATCATTCAGGGATGCTGGTACCCTCTTGTAGTCTTGCAATTAACTCCGCTACCATTTTGATGGGGGGGGGGGGCACTTGCACTCACCAGACGAAACGCAGAAACAAAGCCACTACTTCACGCTGGTCTTCTGTGAGGTCGTGGTACCACCCCGGTTTGAGTACGTGCATCAGCAAAGGTTACCGCGTGGCTCTACCACTGTTATTATTACTTTCTGAAGCCTGGACGTTACACTCCACTACAGTCTAGAGAAAGCTTCACAACTAATATATTATTCTTGTGCAACATAATATCATGCTACATTAAAGTTGTTTTTTGTAACTATATGTACATTATATTTGAGTATATCCTCACCAACATAATTACTATTGGAATGTCTGTTTCATCATCATTACAGTCCTTCACAAGTCCACTGCTGAACATAGGCCTCCCCCAAGGAATGCTAGCAACTTTTTATCCTACAATTAAATATACTTAACACAAAACAAAAACTATTGCAACACGTACTTACAAAAAACTACAAAGCGCTAGCCGCGATTGCGTATGAAACCCGGGGCGCCTCGCGAATGCAGGTAATTACTTCACGCAGGTAGCAAGAGTCACAGAGGGTCACATGTATCCACACATATCTATAATATATATAATTTTTAAAGTACATTAAAACTTTTTCAACTATTTTATCTTACATTTAAATATATTAAACACTATACAAAAACTATTTCAACAAGTATTTACAAAAAACTATTTGCGTAAACAACATTAAAAAACTTTAAAATTCAATCACCTACAACGCGCTAGCCCCGACTGCGTATACGGCGCCAACCGTCTCGCGATTGTAGGTAATTATTTCACGCAGGTGGCAAGTGACAGAGGCCTGGCTGCGGCACGAAAGGAAGGGTTTGGAAGGCTGACCCTCCATACGCACTCCATGACATTTTTTTAATGGATTTTTGAAAATTTCATTAATAATCAGGTTTCAAAGTTAATCTAAAAACTAAATTATTCGCCTTAATAGGGGGTTAAGGTAGGGTCGGGAGGGGGGATCGGGTATCACCTACTACCAATTCCTCCCGAAACTAGTTATAGGACGCTAAGAAATGTTTATTCTTCTTATGGTACTGTACCGGCCGCTGACGCTGATACATACTAGCGCGTTATGGCGTGCATGAGAGCGTTATCTTCTTAAGGAACCAACCATATATATATATATATATATATATATATATATAATGACACCCCTCCAGTGTTAAGGTTAAGAAATAAAACAATGTTGTTTTACTCACTAGTTAATTTATTCAATCTCATTGATATGACTCATAATTTGGCTAGGAAATGGACAATTTAATACGCATAATTGGGCAATTTTGCTATCTCAAATAGCATTTAGCTTAGACCATAAAAAGTACAGTGTACACTTTTTTACATCAAAACTCAACGGATAGTAGCATTGTTTTTTTGTTCCTAATTTTCTGCCTTTGCTTATTGATTTATTGCTATACAAATTGGCTAGATCAAGTGGTTTCGGACAATTTCTAACATAAAGTTTTTGTTATAAATAATATGAAACATATTGTGATAATTATAGTTTATATTTATACACGATAAAATAGTTTTTAATAATGAGTATTTACTTGACTGAATTCAATTGCCCAAGAATGTATATAAAGTGTTTGAAAATAAGTAGCTAGTATTTAATTAAATTTTCAAGTGTTATCTTACGGATGATGTATTATTAACTTTGTAAACTTTACACTTACAATTAAATACAATCATTTATAGTGCGTATATAATTTAAAACTCGGATAAAACTAATATAAGAAACTTTTAAAACATGGCAGTGTTATTAATTATAAAATATTAGACAAAAATTTAATATAAAAAGAGACTAGTCCTTTCATGTCGCAAAAATAGTGCATTTGAGTTCGAGTCATAAACTTATTAAAAAATTACTGTGGTAATTTTAAGGCGCAGTTTGAAGCTTCAACATTAATGAAATTTAGTGATTTTTTTGCATTGACGAGATTGAATTACACGTGCAGGTAAATTAATATTAACAAAAATTAATGTTATTTAAAAGCAAAACATTCTGATTAAATAAAAACTAATGTTATTTAATCAGAATGTTTTGCTTTTAAATAACATTAGTTTTTTTATTTTTTTTATTTAATTTTATTTAATACTTTTGTAATTATTTTTAGATAAAATGGCCGAAAAGGACGAAAGAATTGAATCGTAACCACGATTACTGCAGATTTTTTGCGTGAAGGCGAAGAATGATAATCCATCTACATTAGTCTCGACGCAGCCGGACTCACCCTCTGTGATGTTATAAACATAGCTAAGATAATACTTATTTTATTGGAAATATTCAATAAATAACTATACAAAAATAAATTTATTACGCTACATATAGAATCACTATTATAGGGGTTTCATTTGAGATACTGTAAGGGTTTATTTTATTCGAGATGTGTAACACTGCTTCATAAATTTATAAGTTACATAATTATGACATAATGATGTATTTTGTTAATGTATGGAATTAAAGCCATGACCAACATAATACTATGAAGACAAATACAACGGGAATGTACTTATCACTAACCACTAATAAATACACTGCAATCAACTGAGAACATTGAACTGTTTTATAACTTTCTAATAAAGTTAAATTGTTCTGAAACATATATTATAAGATACAATATATTGTTATTTTATTACGTATTTCACTATATCAATAATGATGACAAAATGTACTAAGAAAATATTGTGTTTATAGTTGAACAATTCAATTTTCAATTCCCAAAAGAAGCCATTTTCTATTGCTAGTACATCAAATGGAATGAGATTCTAAGCGAACATCGCTTTAGGAGACACAATTCGCAAGCGACGAGTCGTACGACACACAGACAATAATAACAATTACAACACGTAATATAAAATAGCTTTTACACAATATCTAGTGTACAGTGGATGAGAGGTAACTTTACATACACTTAATACTAAATAGGTCAGTATTCATAGCCCGACAAGACTCACGTTTCGCGTCTAACTCACAGGGTACGCGCACATAGGTCCTCGACGCGAGACATCGGCTTCAATCATCAACACTTTAAGTCTAGTTGTGCAGTGACACTTAGGTCCTGTTACTAGGAAAATTCAAGTCAGTGACAAACAGAGCGAGCGAGGTCGCCTGCCCGGGCCTGCGCCTGCCATAGCCGCGTCCGCTACCGCTCCCGCCTCCGCTCCGCTCCCGCGTCGCACCACGCGCGCACACGCACCACGCACCACGCGCCACGGAAAAAGCTCCTACTCGATTTAAAATTAAAACCACGACTAACGAACCGATAACTTAGAAGCGAATAAATAATAAAACGCTCTTTGGAACGGGTTGCGTCCGAGGTGACCGCCCATTGCGGGGCCGGAGTGCGCGCAAGGGGGGAAGAAATAGCTGCCGAAACGTTCACCAACTAAACTGCTCTTAAAATTATCTTAAATACTAAAACAAAAGGGACGACAACAAAATATATGGGCATTATTGGCGAATCTCACTCGTTCATTGATCTTTTTTTTTATTCAACGACTGTCTATCTAAATTTACACGTCTTATTAAACACATCGAAAAATGTTCAAGCTACCCACTAGTAGCTAACTTATTATATTAAAATAAATTAAAAAATCAGACTCACGTGGGTTTTCAGTAGAAAAAGCAAAATATTAAGAGTAATTGTCAATTAAACTACTCTTACTTATATGAATATAAATAAATTATTTTAAACGCGCGATTTGTAATTTCAGAACTAAGAAGTCAAGAAATAGATTTTCGAATATCGAAAGAATAGAAATCAGGATAATAAAAAAATGTTGCGAACTAATACTATTAACAAATGTAAATGTAATACACAAACAATACACCGTAGAGCTCAGAACTGTGACTGTTTTACCCTTTCAGCCCGCGCCAATTCATACCAACCGAACGCACCGATGAAATTTACAAATATTTTACATGAATTTAGTTGTAAATTAAAACTTGTGTTAGAGCAGGATAATAATATATTAACTCGATTCACTATATAATTTGAATATTATATGATTTTCTTGGTTTTTACAATTAACAAAAAAATATAATAGATTTTAATTTGAAACACGACAGTAAAACATTTTTGTAATTTCTCAAGTTTAGAATTTGACTTCTTTATTTGAATATTTAGGTTTGTAGCATACGTAAAATGGTTACACCTGTTTACAGTCAAAAAAGAGAATTTCGTATATTATTGGATTCTTATGTAGAATTTTTGACCGAGGAAAAAACCAATCGGGCAGTGAGAATATCACCGCCTCGTTCCTCGCTCACCTTTTTACCATGAAACAAACCGTTAATTTTAATCGGCGGTAGCGTACCACGAATGAAAAAAAAACGTTTTTATTTTTAACTAGTGTGTTACGAGTATATCAAGTGTAGTGTCGGTGTGAGTGTGCGGTTGGTATGTATGCGGCTAGCGGGCTAGGGCGCGCGTGGCGCGCGCGTCAGGGGTGCGGGTGCGGGGCGGGTGCGGGGGAGGCGCGGGGGCGGGGCGCGGGGCGCGCGGGGCCACTAGCGCCCTCACGGCACCAGGTCGGGCAGGCGCTCGCGGCCCTAGGGGCGCGCTGCCGCCTCCGCGCTCACCACCTGCAACCAAACGTCGCCACACCGTCACCTCTCTCGCCCCGATCCGGACACCGGACACAGGCAACATATTCCCAGTACCGTCAGAAGCTACCAACGACATTTGTAAGACCGCAAATGGGCTAGTATACAGCGTCAGACCCGAGGTTAATCGCAACGCAACCTGACCAAAAACTAACAATATATGTTTTTGCATAAATATTAGCTTTAGTTAGGGGTTTGAAACTAGAACTGTCCAATGCAGGTCGTAGTAATTTAAACACTTGGCCACGTAATCGTTGACTACAAATAACGCCTGGCCTATTTTCATTCCTACTCTTCATTATTCCCCTTCTTTGTTTTTGAACTCTTAAGATATATTTGTGAGTGACAAATTAACTACATATTTTTGCATAATACTTTATTTAAAACCATTACCGAACTAGAGCACGTGTAAACTATAATAAAAACGCAGAAGAGAGAATGTGGATCATTTAAAAGAAAACCGTGAAAGCTAAGGAGCTAAGCAAACGCTGTAAATTTCACATTACGATAGCAACACAGGTGCGATTAAAATGCAGGTTTACCACGTGCTCGATGGTGAATGAAAGCACCGTTTGAAAATCTGCATGTCTGATAAATAAATAAAAATATTTTATGACATATTGTAAAGTCCTCCAAAATGCATTTAGGCAGCGCGGTGAACACTTCCTTGCTTTAAATCCATCATACAAATGAGAGGCATGTGCCCAAGAGTATGATGTATATACGTTGTAATTTTACTTTAATCAAACATCAGTCATCACACACTACAGGCGGATTGCAGCAGTGTGTAATGCATCGCACTAACAGATTGTACATCAAACGAATATTACGGCCACATGTATGGCCGCTACAATACGTTGGATAGTCACATTTAGCATTATACCTGAATTAAGAGAATGAACCTTCAAATGAACAAAACCTTTCCGATCCGTGAGGGTGCTTTTAGGTATAGTTTTATGATTATTTTCATGTAGACTTTTCAGGAAAAAATATATAAAAAATCACTCCGAATTTTTAAAGTAAATCTTTTTTTATTTTATTGTTTTTAAATAAAAGAGCGTGGTATAACGCGTGAAAGGACAATGTCCAAAATCGCCCTGTGCAATAAAAACATCGAACACACACGATAATTCATTATCTATTTTATTATAATTGTTGCAAATACTTTTATAACACGGACTAGCTGCATGCCAATATGAACATTAAAAAAATATTCTATTCGACTTATAACATTAATCGCTGCCATCTTCGCCAAACCTCATGTGGTGTATAAAAATTACTAGGGACGCCCAATCGATTATAATCGATCTTTTGAATTTTTAATGAACAGTTGCATATTTTTAATCTGAATCACATTTTGAATTTATTTCGAATAATATATATATATATATATATATATATATATATATATATATATATATATATAAATATATATATAGTGCAAATAACTACTAGAAACTATAATAAAAACAATCAATCACCATTTATTTTTGTTATATCCTAAAAGTATAATTTCAAATACCTACTATACCTAATGAATGAGGTCAAACTCGAAAATAAATAGGTATTTAGAATAATGCTGAAGTAAACAAAAACTAATTATTTCATCATGATCAGGTTTTCTAATGATTGTTTAAAAAAGCGTGTGGCTTACTTCTAACTAAACGATCAGTAACGAGTTTATGATAATTAATTTTTAATATAAAAATTACGATAAACAATAAATCGATAAACATTATATCGATAAAATTATTCGAGGATAGACATTTTCAGAACCAGTATAATTCGCCTATGTTGTCAGCACTGTTGTTCTAAAAATTAATTTCATGTCTTGATGTTGGTAGAGTAGTTTGGCGCCTTTTCATACACTTACTTTTGCTAAGGGAGTTTATATTCTCTTTGTTACGCATACGCAATGAAAAGTGCATTTTGTATAAATTGCGGCTTTGCTAGTGGTTTTATGTTGTTGAAAGACGTTACTAAAATTGTTAAATGTAACACGATATTGTTTTTCAGATTCTTAAAAATCACACCAAGTGATAAAAACCATAATAGTGGTAGTTCTATTATAACCTCAAAATCTGATACTTTTTTGAAATATATCTTTTCTGCAGCTAGTCCGCTATAAAAATAAGATCATATAGGAATTCGCTAATGATCGACAATACATCACACAATTTTCCGATGCTTTTGGTTCCAGGGCGAACAATGTATAGGCGCTGAGCAATGTCTTTTACAAAGACCGCTCAGCACCCTGATCCCTGAGCTACCGTGGCTCTAAAACGTATTGATACGAAATGTACTAACAAAAGGATCTTGCAATGTTCAAGTTATGATTGACATAAACAAAGCCGCAAATTACAAGAAGTGATACATGATATAGTGAAATTATTAAATTGATATCTAACCCCAAAAAAACAAACCCCCGGTTCAAAATAAAATATAACTTTTTTTTTCTTTTCTCAACAAAAAAATAATATTTTATTATTTGTCTTTTTGTTTTTTTTTTTTTTTGAACCCAAAAAAAGGCCTTGGGAAAAAAAAAAAAAAAAAACAACAACCACAACAAAAAAAACCCAACCCCAACCAAAAAAAAAAAAAAAAAAATAACAAAAAAAAAAAAAAGACTACCCCCAGGTGCCAGAAAAAAAAAATAAAAAAAAAAAAATAAAAAAAAAAATTTATTATTAAATGTAAATATTTTGCGAACATTGTTCGACAGAAAATAAGCCGAAGGCAACAATAAACAGCAAACAAACACATAAACATCCACCTCACTCTATTAACGGCAACAAAGCGATGATTACATAATGAAAATGTATATATATGTAGCGTCATAAAAGAGGCATCTTATGTACTTTTTAGTTTAAAGCATGAAGGTTAGAGAACAGGAGACCGATCACCGTAGAAAATAGTGTCCCAGAAATATGGACACCATAAGTGAGGCGCTGCGATCACTAAGTTCGGTCAATAAAAGTCATTTTCAGTCTATTTTTCCGATCAGATGCTAAACCACTTGCACATCCACGCACAATAAAATATTTCTCCATTTTTTAATGTTTCTTTTTGTCAAAAATTACAAAATTACGGAGCATGAAAATGTTCTCACTAATGCCGCGCAGAAAATTTGTACATTATTCAACTAACTTCATCTACTTGTACTCGTAAACAGCTAACTTCGCAGTCACTACTCACCGACGTCAGCGCCGCTATAAATTCTACAATTTTCAAAGACAGGCGGGCTATGCTTTAGTACGTAGTGATCGTTCTCCTGTTCTCTAACCTTCATGGTTTAAAGACTCCTCTTTTTGTCGAACTAAAATATGTAAATAAATTAGTACTGCCGGTCATGGAACTTACTTTCCGCTCCTTATAGTAGAGCTCCTCGCTCTCCTTATCGCAGAGCAGCAACACCACTGCGCCGAAAAGAAAGATGGCGGCGCCCCAACCCACTCCATACGCCCATCCAAACTCCCATAGTGATCTGTTACCTGAGCAAAGTTTGACAGACTATGTCAACTATAGCATAATCACAAGCATATATTATAAACAACTTATTTTTTTAAACAAATCGGGTAACTTATTTTTTTAAAACAAATCTTTTATACGTGGTATGAGCCATATTAATTGTATAGTTGAAGCATGAATGGGTCGGCTCGACCGGGGAAGAACCACGCTCTCACAGAATACCAGCGTAAAATAGTAGCTTAATGCTGCTGTGTTTCGTATGGTGAGTGTAGAGAACCGGAGACCCTTTTTTACTGGAAACGAAGCATTCCATCTAAGTCCTCACGGGTTGACAACGCATCTGCATTTTGATTAGTAATCGAGGATTGATGTAGATGTCTATGGGCCACAGCAACCAATTACCATCAGGTGGACTGAGTGCTCGTTTGTCACCCTATCCTATAAAAAAACATTCAATTTTAAGCTTACAGCTGTTGATGTTAAGTAGTAGTAGCATAAATTTAATACTTTACAATTTTTATGCAAAATTGTAATTATATTAATAACCGATATTTCATACGTGGTACTAGCCACGCTGCAGCTATATTACGATTATAGCATGAATATGTCGGCTCAACACGCTCTTACAGAATACCAGCGTAAAATAGAGGTTAAATGCTGCTGTGTTTCGTATGGTGAGTGTAGTGAACCGTAGACCCATTTTACTGGAAACGAGGCATTCCAACTTAGTCCTCAGGGGTGGAGGCGAGAATAAATGTGGATGTCTATGGGCCGCAGTATCTACTTACCATCAGGTGGGCGATGTCACCCTTATTCTATAAAAATATATTAAAAAATTATTCAATTTAATGATATAAAATAGTTCACTATTTTATTTATATGTATTATTTATTCTGTTTCTCTCCTATGTGACGTCAGAGGCGGCCATTCGAAAAGCTAAAACCATATCCTGGCCTCCGATAGATGGTGGTAATGACATCTAAAGAAAACAAAGACGAAACATATCTGGACTGAAACCGGAAAGCAATGTCGAAGTCAGCCATAAGGGCCATAAGCCTTTTGTAACAAATTAATATTCTCAATAAAACTGAACACTCAACAAATGGACTTTTTAAGAAGAAAAATTATTTAATGAATGATTCGTCTTTAATTGTTGGTAATTTTTACTTCTCGCTGGTCGATATTCTTTTCATATTATGCACTCTTCTATTTGTAAATGTCACTTCCAGTTTGAGATGACACCGTAAATGTTTCAACTAGACTCCTCCGCTATTGGAATGGTAATGATGAAGAACTTTTTTCTAATTTCTTCTAGCTTTTCGAGGTAGTCTAGACCTCATTATTTCTAATTTTGAACTATCGGAAACTCCTATTTCTATTTTATTCCTTTTCGTTTTCAAGGTAGAAAACTTACTAACTTAGTTACTCAACATAGATCGGAAGGGTTTTGTTTGCCTTCTCTGTTAGTTCAGTGAGATCGTACTCATCATCTTTGCTTATTATATTTTCCGTTCAGCTTTCTAAACAACTGAATATTTATTTGATAAATATATAAATTACTGTCACATTGTTTGTCTGCAATGGAATCCTAAACTACTTAACCGATTTGAATCAAATTTGAACACCGTGTGCAGTTTGGTACAACTTGAGAGATAGGATAGTTTATTTGCCCATGAGTAACCAACAATTTTTTTTCTAATTTAAGGAATTTTAATAGGACATGACAAAGGGTCTTCGAAAAGGGCAGAACAACGTCTGAAGTAGTTTGATATAAAATATAATCAGGGCAAACTAAAGGAGACATTATAATGACACTAACTCCGTCTTTTGTTATTCTATTTATTAACGTGCTATGCACAATAATGAGTAACAAAATAAATATAATAATAAATAAATAAATAAATTTGATGATATTGCAATAAAAACTTACCGAAATTTAATTCCGCAGCAAAACACACAGGGTAGATCACCAGCGCTATTAAGATGCACATTACTGGAAAGTACGAGAAAAACGTCAATAATTTAAAATAGAAATTGGGTTCGGTTAGTTTTTGAAATGTTTTAAAACTTGATCGATTTTTAATTTTCATTTGTTTATAATTAAATGTGTCATATTAGGTATATCAGGAGTAATCGGCCGCATGAGTACCGAAAACTATTCCATCTAAATTTTTTATGCGAATTTCTTCAAATTGTCCTACACATGATGAAAATGCATGTTGCCATGGCGCAACTCAGTGTCTATTTTCTACTCGGTGAATAGTTTTATTGAGTCATAAGCATCAGAGTTCGGAATTTTTCAAATCTTTAAAATATTCATAGCTCCCATAATATTAGCTTTATCGTAAAAAGTCATAGGACCTTTTTTATTCGTGTTACATTAAATAATATTTTTAAAAAATGACCCATTTGAATAAGACAATTCTTTGTAATAGGAAAAAAATCGGTTTAAACAATATGGCACCTAGTTGCCCCATGGCAGTATGCATTTATATCATCAGTAGGACAACTTGAAGAGAATCGCATAAAACAATTGAGGTGGAATAGTTTTCGGTACTCATGCGCCGAGCCCCCTTGGAATATGTATATAATGCCCAAAAAATCAAACGCTACTTAATTTTAAGGTGCCATTAAGTCTCTTGCTGTCTCTATCACTATGTATATAATGCCCAAAATATCAAACGCTACTTAATTTTAAGATGTCGTTAAGTCTCTTACTGTCTCTATCACTATGTATATAGTGCCCAAAATATCAAACGCTACTTAATTTTAAGATGTCGTTAAGTCTCTTGCTGTCTCTATCACTATGTATATAATGCCCAAAATATCAAACGCTACTTAATTTTAAGATGTCGTTAAGTCTCTTACTGTCTCTATCACTATGTATATAATGCCCAAAATATCAAACGCTACTTAATTTTAAGATGTCGTTAAGTCTCTTACTGTCCCTATCACTATGTATATAATGCCCAAAAAATCAAACGCTACTTAATTTTAAGGTGCCATTAAGTCTCTTGCTGTCTCTATCACTATGTATATAATGCCCAAAATATCAAACGCTACTTAATTTTAAGATGTCGTTAAGTCTCTTACTGTCTCTATCACTATGTATATAGTGCCCAAAATATCAAACGCTACTTAATTTTAAGATGTCGTTAAGTCCCTTGCTGTCTCTATCACTATGTATATAATGCCCAAAATATCAAACGCTACTTAATTTTAAGATGTCGTTAAGTCTCTTGCTGTCTCTATCACTATGTATATAATGCCCAAAATATCAAACGCTACTTAATTTTAAGATGTCGTTAAGTCTCTTACTGTCTCTATCACTATGTATATAATGCCCAAAATATCAAACGCTACTTAATTTTAAGATGTCGTTAAGTCTCTTGCTGTCTCTATCACTATGTATATAATGCCCAAAAAATCAAACGCTACTTAATGTTAAGATGCCATTAAGTCTCTTGCTGTCTCTATCACTATGTATATAATGCCCAAAATATCAAACGCTACTTAATTTTAAGATGTCGTTAAGTCTCTTACTGTCTCTATCACTATGTATATAATGCCCAAAAAATCAAACGCTACTTAATGTTAAGGTGCCATTAAGTCTCTTGCTGTCTCTATCACTATGTATATAATGCCCAAAATATCAAACGCTACTTAAATTTAAGATGTCGTTAAGTCTCTTGCTGTCTCTATCACTATGTATATAATGCCCAAAATATCAAACGCTACTTAATTTTAAGATGTCGTTAAGTCTCTTACTGTCTCTATCACTATGTATATAATGCCCAAAATATCAAACGCTACTTAATTTTAAGATGTCGTTAAGTCTCTTGCTGTCTCTATCACTATGTATATAATGCCCAAAATATCAAACGCTACTTAATTTTAAGATGTCGTTAAGTCTCTTACTGTCTCTATCACTATGTATATAATGCCCAAAATATCAAACGCTACTTAATATTAAGATGTCGTTAAGTCTCTTACTGTCTCTATCACTATGTATATAATGCCCAAAATATCAAACGCTACTTAATTTTAAGGTGCCATTAAGTCTCTTGCTGTCTCTATCACTATGTATAAAATGCCCAAAATATCAAACGCTACTTAATATTAAGATGTCGTTAAGTCTCTTACTGTCTCTATCACTATGTATATAATGCCCAAAATATCAAACGCTACTTAATTTTAAGATGTCGTTAAGTCTCTTACTGTCTCTATCACTATGTATATAATGCCCAAAATATCAAACGCTACTTAATTTTAAGATGTCGTTAAGTCTCTTACTGTCTCTATCACTATGTATATAATGCCCAAAAAATCAAACGCTACTTAATTTTAAGATGTCATTAAGTCTCTTGCTGTCTCTATCACTATGTATATAATGCCCAAAATATCAAACGCTACTTAAATTTAAGATGTCGTTAAGTCTCTTGCTGTCTCTATCACTATGTATATAATGCCCAAAATATCAAACGCTACTTAATTTTAAGATGTCGTTAAGTCTCTTACTGTCTCTATCACTATGTATATAATGCCCAAAATATCAAACGCTACTTAATTTTAAGATGTCGTTAAGTCTCTTGCTGTCTCTATCACTATGTATATAATGCCCAAAATATCAAACGCTACTTAATTTTAAGATGTCGTTAAGTCTCTTACTGTCTCTATCACTATGTATATAATGCCCAAAAAATCAAACGCTACTTAATTTTAAGGTGCCATTAAGTCTCTTGCTGTCTCTATCACTATGTATATAATGCCCAAAATATCAAACGCTACTTAATATTAAGATGTCGTTAAGTCTCTTACTGTCTCTATCACTATGTATATAATGCCCAAAATATCAAACGCTACTTAATTTTAAGATGTCGTTAAGTCTCTTACTGTCTCTATCACTATGTATATAATGCCCAAAATATCAAACGCTACTTAATTTTAAGATGTCCTTAAGTCTCTTGCTGTCTCTATCACTATGTATATAATGCCCAAAATATCAAACGCTACTTAATTTTAAGATGTCGTTAAGTCTCTTGCTGTCTCTATCACTATGTATATAATGCCCAAACTGACTGCTTCGTTGGTCTAGTGGTTGTAGTAGTGCGACTGCAGATCATGAGATCCTGGGTTCGAATCCCGGGTCGGGCCAAAAAATTAATTATTGAGTTTTTCCGTCAAGAAATTCTAAGTAGTTTCCCGGAGTCAGGAAGTTGGCGGTGTCTTACACCCGTGCCTCGGAAAGCACGTAAAGCCGTCGGTCCTGCGCCTGATCTCTCTCCGGTCGTGTCGGTTTACCGTCCCATCGGATTATGAGAGTGAGGGAATAGAGAGTGCACCTGTGCTTGCGCATACACTTGGGCACTATAATCCTGTCCTGCGCCGATGGCTAGCCTCCGTTGAGGCAGGCCGCCGTGGCCGAAATTCGGTCTGGAGAACATTATTAATGCCCAAAATATCAAACGCTACTTACTTTTAAGATATCGTTAATTCTCTTGCTGTCTCTATTAGTTTATGTCAAAGCGACTGTGACAGCACGAGGCTTCACATCTTAGTATTGAGTAGCGTTTGAGTATTTGGCCATAAGAGTGGAAAAATAGGGTATGAAGTTTTTAATGAAACTATTTAGACGACGATTAGAAATTAAATTTTAAATAAAAGTAAGAGGTGACTTCAAAGAACTAAAAAGAATAAAACAACATCACATTGTGCAGTCAGGGCTTTAATACTACAATAATTATTCTATGTCTTAACAAAACTTTTAATCAAAAGTTTATATTTGTCTATAAATGTACAACGTCGAAAAATTTTTCCTAGGGGGACCTAAATTGTAGGTATAAAATGTGAAGATACAAGGTACATACGTGCCAGCGCCATGGCGAGCACCGCGAACCGATAGTAGCGGAACTTGGTGCGGTGGTCGGTGGAGCGCAGGCCGAGTGCCGTGAGCAGAGCACCGCACACGTCCGCCGCCAGCGTCGCCACGCACAGCCCCGCCGCCGCCCTGTCGCCATCATCATCATCATCATCAACAACAACAACAACAACAGCAACATCACAGCCTATCAAAAGTACACTGGCAGCCCTAACATGTTTACGTAGTAGACCCAAGCTCCAGCTATACTACGGTTGTAGCACGATTAGGTACGAAGTCTCGAAAGGGGCGGGACCACTCTCTCACAGAATACCAACATAAAATAGAAAGAAAGAAAGAACCATTTATTTGATACTCACACTTTACACACAATTTAAGAAACTTAAATATAAATTACAAGGGGCAAAAAATATGCATGCGCAGGTGTAAGTCTACTTACGCATTAAAAATGATTAATAAGCAGTACATGCATGATGATAATTAATAGTGAAAGAAAAACAAATAAAAATTTGAAGAAGAATTTAAAAATAATACTAGTTTTTACGGAATTTATCGCGTATATTTAACTTTTTAAATACCCGACGTTTCGAGAGCTTTATAGCACCCATGGTCACGGGAAGGACTGAGATGTTCAACGTCCAGATGTCATAGTTAACCGCGGTTACCATAGATTAAAATTTAACTTTTGTTCCGATCTACACAGTATGAATTTATGGTATCATGAAGTCTTGCAGTTGTATGCTTGGGTTGGGATTTAATTTTTATTTATTATAGGATCCCAAGCAGATGGTAGCACCCAGCCATCTTCTCTATTGAAATTAGGATGTTTTTTGATTTCAATAGCCTCGCGAATCATCCTTGGAAGGAATCGGTGTTCTTTATCGAGGATTTGTGGTCTATCAAATCTGATGTAGTGACGGGGGCAATCCTGTACGTGTTCACAGACTGCAGACTTCCCGGAGCGTCGATTCTACACATCAGCTATATGTTCTTTAACGCGGGTTTTAATTGATCTTTTAGTTTGTCCTATGTAGGAGAGACCACATTCAAAATCAAGCTTGTACACTCCTGCATCTTGCAGAGGGCGTTACACTTCACTGATGGTAAAACTGACCAATCTTCTTCGGCGGCTTGTATGTTTTGATGGAAGCGCGCTTCAATATGTAGCCAATCTTGTCAGTGACTCCTCTAACATATGGCAGTACAGCATGTACACGCTCGAATTTATAAATTAGAATTTATAGAGTTAAGATGGTCTAAAAATGGTCATTTTTAGACCATCTTAGCTCCATAAATTCTACAATTCAGTTCACAATGGAGTTAGAGGCAAACAATTCCTTAGCTTTTCTAGATGTGTTAGTAATTCGGAATCCTGATAACACCTTGAGCCATACTGTGTATAGAAAAAATACCCATACAGATAGATATTTAAACGGTGATTCTCACCACCATCCTTCACAGTTAGCTACCGTGGGGGAATCTTTGTTTCAGAGAGCACGAGGGATCTGTGACAGTAAACACCTGGCTGCCGAGCTCCAACACGTCAAGCAAGTTTTGCATGACAACAAGCTTCGGGTCTCGCACCTACGTCATAGAGAACGAGTGAAGCCGGCCTCAGTCGAGCGTGTACCTGCTGTACTGCCATATGTTAGAGGAGTCACTGACAAGATTGGCTACATCTTGAAGCGCGCTTCCATCAAAACATACTTCAAGCCGCCGAAGAAGATTGGTCAGTTTTTACCATCAGTCAAGTGTAACGTCCCTCTGCAAGATGCAGGAGTGTACAAGCTTGATTGTGAATGTGGTCTCTCCTACATAGGACAAACTAAAAGATCAATTAAAACCCGCGTTAAAGAACATATAGCTGATGTGAAGAATCGACGCTCCGGGAAGTCTGTAGTCTGTGAACATGTACAGGATCGCCCCCGTCACTACATCAGATTTGATAGACCACAAATCCTCGCTAAAGAACACCGATTCCTTCCAAGGATGGTTTGCGAGGCTATTGAAATCAAAAAACATCCTAATTTCAATAGAGAAGATGGCTGGGTGGTACCATCTGCTTGAGATCCTATAATAAATAAAATTAAATCCCAACCCAAGCATACAACTGCAAGTATTCATGATACCGTAAGTTCATACTGTGTAGATCGGAACAAAAGTTAAATTTTAATCTATGGTAACCGCGGTTAACTATGACATCTGGACGTTGAACATCTCAGTCCTTCCCGTGACCATGGGTGCTGTAAAGCTCTCGAAACGTCGGGTATTTAAAAAGTTAAATATACGCGATAAATTCCGTAAAAACTAGTATTATTTCAATGTATAGTGTTCGCGTAAATAGAAGAATTTAAAGATAAAATGTGACATCAAATAGGTCTCCAACTCAGCATAACGCTGCAGAAGCAGCGCTGGTTTTCAGTTGGAACCTTGTGACTTCACTGACGAGTCGGTGTGTGAACCTCGAATTACGCGTAACTACAACTTATAGACTAGTAATTAGCCAGTGGGCTAAAGAGTAGCGCTAACGAACACAGTTAACACACACATACTGTATAAATATCAATATAAATGGTGTGTTGTACATACACTACACCTATACACTACACATAAAATATTTGGTTCAATGGGGAAGACAAAGCAAAGTATCAATAAAAATTATGATTTTAGTAGGTACATATATAATTTGTATTCTGTACTCAAAGAGACACGCCATGTCATGAGACCCCCTAGATTTTTTTTAGAAAATAAAAATAGCAGCTTAATGCTGGTGGTTTTCATATAGTGAGTATAAAAACCGGCGACCCTTTTTACTGGAAACGAGTCATTCCATCTTAGTTCTCAGATGTCTATGGGCCCGAGCATCCACTTACCGTCAGGTGCACTAAATGCTCGTTTGTCACACTCAATCTATAAAAAAACACTGCTGAATGCAGGAATGGCGGAATGCTGAACAGGGTATTTCGCCATAGTTCGAATGCTTAGCAGGCGTTTTCACTACCGCACTTGTTTATAATTTTCAATTGTCAAATGCATATTGACTGTTTAAATATATGAGGTTTTAATTATAAATGGTAACAATGTATCTAAAGTCGAATATTTAATAAGAAAAATCTCTAAACATTTTTGCCGTAAGAATAAGTTCAGACGTTATTTATAAAAGTTAGCTGCAGTGCATCAAATAAACAACCAGCAACAGAGTTTTAATAAAATTTCTTACTAGATGGTATATAGTTACAGCGTATATACGTCCCACAGCTGGGCACAGGCCTCCTATCATTTCTGAAAGGGCATTAGTGCAAAGAAATGTCCGCCGCGTTGACCCAATGCGTGTTGGCGAACTTCATATATTTTCGTAATATTTCCTCTTATTTCTCAGAAATGGAGGTTTTCTCACTAATGTTTTCGTTCACCGCAAAGCACGTCGTAAATAAGCACTTGAAATTGCAATTAACAATTTCATTGGTGCCGGCGGGGATCGAACTCGGGTTGCTCGCGTACTGTGTGAAGTTTACAGCGAGCGCTTAGCCCCTGAGCTACTTACTCTACGGCTCTTAATATTGTTGCACGCCTAAGTTGATGTCTGGTACCTGGCACTAGCGCCATCTAGTGTCGGGGAACAGAGCGAGAGCTTTCCAGAAAATGCCATGACTGATCTTTCAACCAAGAGTCTAGAGAGATCTAGTATCGAATAGAAAAACTAAGCTTTCTGGAAAGCTCCACACTCGAACTTACTACGGGGGCTGGTATTTGCTGGAATATTCTGGATGTATCGGTAAAAAGGCGTATATAAAGGCATTGAAGCCCGCCACCGCTTTCCTAGTGAAATAAAGTGAACTAAAGCGTTAAATGTGAATAATTATTAGTGTGATTTAAGTTTTAATTGGTGTTCAGTAATTAAAGTGTCAATTTTGGTAATTCAATCGGCAGTTTTTATTGTCACGAACCCTAAGCTCGTAACAATATGGTACACAAAGGGTAAAAAAATAATATAACATTACTTAATGTATGGAGCGGGTCGCGCAGCGTAGCAACCGGGCTGCGCGATGATGTCGAAAGGCAGCGGCGTGGGCGCAGCTGGGTCTATGCAGTGCATGAATAGGCCCTGCCTCCAGCCGGCCGCCATCAGCCAGTCCGCCGACGCGAGCCCCAACACCATCAACACGACCACCAGCAACCCGCATATTAAGGCGATCACCTGGAATTGTAAACAATTTACATTAAATAACACCGTCATAAGAAACTTTAGAGCCGTGGTAGCTCAAAGACTTCTCCCTCACTGAAAATTTCACAGTACGCCAGCTTCCCGGATTCGATCCCCGCCGGTAACCATAAAGTTGTTGTTTGCAATTTTAAGTGCTGATCGGAAAATGAAATTGTGAATCCCGCAAACACGCATCTGTGCCCGACAATAAGGTCATAATATATAGGTTGTGACGTAAACTTTAAAAGTATTCGAGACGTAAGTTAGCCATCTTCTATAATCCCATCGCATTAGAGGCGACCCAAATACGACAATAAATGTCTACCGAAATGCTATAAAAAGGCTCATTTTTTTTTAATTTGATCATAAATGATAAACAATCATATCATATCTCTTATACGTATTAATTATATAATCTTATACGTGGTAGAGCCATGCTGCAGTTATATTAGTAGTATAGTTGTATTCGTGCTACAATGGGTCGGCTCGACCGGGGAAGGACCACGCTCTCACAGAATACCAGCGTAAAATAGCAGCTGAATGCTGCTATGTTTCGTATGGCGAGTGTAGAGAACCGGAGACGCTTTTTACTGGAAACGAGGCATTCCATCTTAGTCCTCAAGGGTGACAACGCATCCGCATTTTGATTCGTAATCGAGGGTAGATGTAGATGTCTATGGGCCACAGCAACCACTTACCATCAGGTGGATTGTGTGCTCGTTTGTCACCCTAACCTTTAAAAAAATCAAGAAATTACTGTAATTTAAAATTAAATTAGTAAAATAACTTAAATATAAACAAAACAAAATGAGCTGATGATCTTCAAACGGCTGAACAGATTTTATTGAAACAACTACGAACACTCTCAAAAACTGAAAACCTGTGATGATCAAGTCCTGTGACTACCAATATTAACTTTTCGTCAGATTTTTACTGTCATGCCCGATGAATAACCCTACTTTTAACAGTTAAAAGTTCAAAACAACTACCTCAGTTTTCAATCAAATATTAGATTTTTGCTCAACATTGAATTCAAACCTCACCAAACTTTACTGTAAAAAAAGTACTACACTATTTTGGCAAACGGGATCTAAGGCACCAGCTCATTACGTATATAGATTGGGAAAATGATTGAACAAATCAAACTTTGAGGTGATGGGATATGAATATATTTTTATTCAGAATAGATAACAATTAACAAGTAAATGTCATTCAAAGTATATTTTTTTAGTTTTACCACTACTTCGGAAAAAAGCTCTGTCCTGAATAGAACCAGCAAGAAACCCAATTCACAAACTGCAACAAGATAATGCCACTTGTCCAAATCAACAACCACTACGGATTTTTTTACTATTCTGCGCCAGCGTTAGACTACTGTCCCTCCATCAGCAGGATTACCATCATCATCATCATTACAGCCCTTCACAAGTCCACTGCTGAACATAGGCCTCCCCCAAGTAACGCCACAAAGCAAGGTCCTGAGCCACCTGCATCCATCGACTTCCTGCATGTCTTACCAGGTCGTCACTCCATATAGTGGGGGATTGCCCTACACTACGCCTTTTTTTTTACTTTTTTTTTTTTTTACATGGGGAAATGCCTACGCATACCCGCCTCGCGGGGGCAAGGACGGGTTATGTCGGACTCGCACCGACTAAAACCCCATGGTGTTCCACCTTCGTCGCATATTGGCAGGGCTACGGGAACGCTTTCGCACACTTCCGCGGCCCCACCAGCGACTGCCGCCCCATGGCAGCACCTCATCGGGAGAGGAATATTCCTCCCCGTTCTCCTTCCCAAGTAAGGCGCACCAGAACACATGGCACGCCTTCCTCCACGGCCTCCAATTACATCTGCGCAACAGACGCCCCCGCGTCCGATGCGCGAAGGCCATGGGGCCAGGAAAAACGAGCACTTAGAAGTACTAGCCCTCCCGACCCCAGCGGCGGATCTGGTCTATGGCTCCGCCGCCAACCAAAATTCGGCTGCGGAGGATAGGGAGAGCGGCGCCTCGCAATACCGACAATCCTCTCCCCCCCGCAGCCCCATCACCACCGCATCAACGGTGCGGCCCCGTTTGAGTCGCGGAGGATAGGGCGAGTGGCGCATCGCCATACCAACACTCCTCTTCCTCCGCGACTCCACCTCGACTGCAGCGGTAGGTGGGGAGGACACACCTCTCACCGCAGTCCACCAACACACATCCGAAGTGGGCTTCCCAAGCCCACTCGGAGTGGCTCACCTCGGGCCGGCCCTCCACCTCGGACCAGCCATATGGGTTCCTCTTTGTTTCGCCGTGGGTGACCAAGCCACGGCTTCTAAGCCCCCCGCCACGACAAGGCGGGAACCCGTTCGGGGGGTCGCCCTACACTACGCCTACCGGTACGAGGCTGCCACTCGAGAACCTTTCTTCCACATCGGTTATCGGTTCTTCGAGCTATATGGCCGGCCCATTGCCACTTCAGCTAACTAATCCGTTGGGCTATGTCGGTCATCCTGGTTCTACTGCGGATATCCTCATTTCTGAGTCTATCACGCAGAGAAAATCCGAGCATAGCCCTCTCCATAGCTCGCTGAGCAACTTTGAGCGTCCTCATACGGCCAGCGGTGAAGGACCACGTCTCTGATCCGTAAGTCATCACTGGCAACACGCACTGGTTGTACACTTTAGTTTTCAGAGATTGGGGTATACCTGACGTGAAGATGTGTCGTAATTTCCCGAACGCTGCCCAGCCGAGTTGAATCCGTCGATTGACCTCTCGGTCGAAGTTGGACTTACCTAGTCGGACTATTTGTCCCAAGTAAACGTACTCGTCAACAACTTCGAGCATAGTGCTCCCAACAACTACCGGCCTAGGTGTGACATGGACATTAAACATGATCTTAGTTTTGTCCATGTTCATCTTAAGACCTATCCGTTGGGAGACACCATTGAGGTCATTGAGCATAGTGCTAAGGTCCTCCAGCGATTCTGCCATAAGGACTATATCGTCGGCAAATCAAAGGTGAGTGATGTACTCGCCATTGATGTTAATACCGTATCCTTTCCAGCCCAATAGCTTGAAAACGTCTTCCAACGCAGCGGTGAAGAGTTTCGGGGATATAACGTCACCCTGTCTTACACCTCTCTGCAGTTGGATACGCTTCGAACTCTGGTTCTGTACTCGGATAGCCATCGTAGCCCTACTGTACAAACACTTCAGCACTTCGATATACCGACAGTCAACTTGGCACCGCTGAAGGGACTGTATCACCGCCCAAATTTCGACGGAATCAAAGGCTTTCTCATAGTCCACATACGCAAAGTGGCAGATTGTACTCCTCGGTCTTCTGTACAATCTGCCGCAGGGTATGTATGTGGTCTATGGTACTGAAGCCTTTTCGAAAACCGGCTTGTTCGGGAGGCTGGAAGTCGTCGAGTCTGCGTGCGAGACGATTCGTAATGACTCTCGAAAACAGCACGTAGACGCGGCTCAGAAGGGTAATCGGTCTGTAGTTCTTCAAGAGAGCGTTGTCGCCTTTCTTAAAGAACAAGACCACCGCACTTCTGCTCCACGCCTCCGGAGTAGTGCCAACATGGAGGACGTAATTGAAGAGCTTCTGAAGGACTTCAAGTACCGGTGTTCCACCCGCTTTCAAAAGCTCCGCTGTAATTCCATCCTCGCCTGGTGCCCTGCCGTTTTTAAGGTGCTGAAGAGCCATTCTAATCTCGCTCAGACTGACGTCCGGGATATCATCGGAATAGTGTCGAATTACCATCATGGTAAGTGGTAATGCAGCCGAGGATGGTAAAGCGTAGTATTTATTTTATTTATTTAAAGGAAATAAATAACATTATTTTATAATTGATATTTTGTTAGGACTTCCGCCTATCCAAACCCCAAGTAAAAAAAAAGGTAGCATTAGCATAACATTTATAATTAAATTTAAATTTTAGCTATTATAAATTATTATAAACATTTTAACAGATTCTAAAAACTGAAAGTAATATAAAATAATTGCCACACAATAATAATATGTTATATCTACTTATTAAGTGCATCGGAGAATTAACGCTGCGACTTCAGAAGCTATGTGGAAATTATTCCATTACTTCTAGTTTTAGAACTAAGTTAATTACTTTTTATTATACATTTATTTTACTCTTGAATACGTCCATCCATAACAGCCTATGAAGTCCACACTGCTGTACATAGGTCTTCCCGTGTCTTCATCCACCCGTGATCTTGGGATCATTCTTGATAACAAACTTAGCTTTACAGAACATATAGATAATGTGGTAACGCGTTCATGGAAAATGTTAGGTTTTGTCAAACGTACATGTAAGGATTTTAAAAATGCTCAGACTCTAACTATATATAATGCATTGATGCGATGTAGTTTAGAATATGCCTCGGTGATATGGAATCCTTCTTATAAAATTCACATTCACAGAATCGATCGTATTCAACAAAACTTCACTCGATTCATTGCATATAAAGTAACTGTAATAAGTGTCCATACTACAAAAATTGTAACTCTAGGCTTTCTCATCTTGGAATGAGTTCACTGGCTGATCGACGAAAACTTTTAGACTTAAGGACGCTACATAAACTTCTACACAGTAAGTTAATTTCGCCACGTTTACTGCAGCGTGCTTTAAAATCCCCTGTCATATTCCTAGACACCCAATTACTAATTTGTTCAATATTCCTATCAGCAGAACCAATTTAGGCAAGTTTTCTCTGTTAAGCAGATGTATGTGAACTTACAACAGCTTAAACAATCATGACATCGACATCTTTAACGACCCCGAACGTGTATTTAAAAGAAAATGTAAAGACTTACTGTTACCTACCTTGCCAGATTAATGATTCAAAATCATTATTTATTGTAATTATTACTGGATGTGGTGCTTTTACTTTGATAGTTTAGTTTGATTTCTTTTTGTTTTAGAGTTTATATGTTGTTCAGTTTTTTTTCTCTTATAATGATTTATACACCTGTAAAGACAT